CCTGCTTCCCCGCTTCGAGCTGGACCGACCCCGGCGCGTGGAAAAGCCTCAGCCTTTAACAGGCTAGGTGACACGTGCCGTCGACCTGCTTCGAAGAGGATGGCGGGGCGGATTGGTCAGCGTGAACCTGGCTCACCCAGGGAAAGCTTGGGGTCGGTATCCTGGACAGCGGATCGGCCCCGCCTGGACAAGGGCAAGGGAAAGCTCCATGAGGGTGATGCACGTCACCAAATCAACACGGCTCACACAGCCCGCTTGCAGACACAGGGAGCCACCATGGCGGCCAAGGACCCCAGGGACGAGGTGATCGCCCAACTCGAGCGAAGGTTCGCTCAAATGGAGGCCAAACAGCTGGCCGCCACGCCCACCGACAACTCATCCAGGGACCCCGACTTCAACGCCCTTCTGCACAAAGTCAGCGTCCTCGAGAGGGAGTTGGCCGAAGGACGAGGAGATCCCATCGTCCAAATCAGGATGAGAACTCCTTTCACTGCCAGGGTACTCTCGGCCCCCATCCCCGAGAAGTACAGGGGAAATGCCATCAAGCCCTATGACGGCAGCTCCGACCCCCAGGAGCACTTCATTCGCTACCAGAATAACATGTTGATGGTGAACGCGTCAGATGAATACCTCTGCCGTTGGTTCCTTTCCACTCTGGAGGGACCGGCATACGAGTGGTTCAACGCGCTCCCCGAGGAAAGCATCGACTCATGGCAGGACCTTGCCCAACGCTTCCTCACTCACTTTGCCGAGAGGAAGCGCGCGAAGAAATATTTCACCCATCTTCTCTCTGTCAAGCAACAACATGACGAATCACTCCGGTCATTCATCGACCGATGGATGAGAGAGACCGATGAGGTCGAAGGGGCCGATGAGCGCACCCTCTTGGTCCTGTTTCAGGCACCCTCCGCAGCACCCCATATGCGAGGAGTCTCATCACTGACCCTCCAAGGTCCTACATGAAGGCGCTTCAGCGGGGAAACTTGTACGCTGACGCCGACGAGCTCCATATCCACAAGAAGGACGGAGGGCACCCCTCCAAGAAGACGAATGTTGCGCCAGCTCCAGGCGCACCCTCGGTCGGGGACCGAGGTCAGGGAGAACAAAGCCGCCACGGATCTGGAGGGAAGAACAAAGACCGCATATGGCGGCCGAGGATGGAAAGGCCGAAGACCCCACTCACTCACTCGGTCAGCTCCATCCTTGATTATGCCGAGGAACACGATCTCATTGAGCGAGATCCTCGGTCGGCGAAGGAGATCTACGTCGTCCATCAGGGCGGCACCTACTGCCGTTACCACCAGAACACCTCCCACAACACAAACGACTGCGTTACGCTGAAGAGAGCCATCGAGAAGCTGGTTCGTCAGGAGGAACTTTCCCAGTTTGTTAAAGGTGGCCCGCACAAAAATACGTGGCTAAACACTGGCAAGCATGGGGGTGAACCCTCCGCGAAGAAGCGTGAGATCGACAGACTCAACGACGATGACGAAGATTTTGAAGAGCTCCCTCCGAAGAAGAACCACATCCACCTCATTGTGGGAGGGCAACACGGGGGGGGGGGGGGGGACTCGGCCACCCAGAGGAAGAAATGGGCCCAATCCTTTTACATTGGGGAGGTGTCCCATGCTCCCCCCAGCCGAAGAAGCAGCGGACGGAGGCGATCACCTTCACCGACAAGGATCTGCCTCCGGGACCCGCATCACACAGGGACGCCCTCGTCATCCGGTGTGAGATAGGTGACTCTCCATAAAATTTTAACTAGTAATTTATTTCAAATTTCAAGTACTTTGTTTTCCAGTATTCTTCTTAGCCTATCTTTCATTAGCAACAAGGTATGCAATAAGTTGTATTGCAATTTGCAAGTATGTTGTTTTTGATTTTTAGTTTTTACTGTTTTTCAATACCTTCTTTATTGATTCTTGATAGTAATGTTGTAGGATTAGACAAGTAAAGTAAGAAATATTTTGTTTTTTAGTAAGCAAAACAAATGTGGAAAAAATTGGATAAGCAAGGTGCACTGCACAGTGAGATTAAGAAATCAAGCTCATTTTTAAATCAACCTCATTCCTCGATTAATATTCTATGTCAATGAGTAAAATGAACATTGAAAGGAACTAATAAAGCCTAACCTTGTTTATGCTAACGAAAAGTAACTAATAACTTGGGCAATGATTCAGTCTTCTGTTTCACATTTATTTATGCAGACATGCAACCTCTAAATTCTCTTCCAGCAATAGGCACTATGAAACAACTAAAATCGCTTCCAAAGAAGCAATTTTGCAGGGACACTGTTGTATTCTAAAAGCTATAAAATGTTATTGTAGGAACACTATTGATTGAAGAACAAATTGATGCCCTTGTGATCATGGTGCATTGATCATGGTGATCAAAATGTTGCAGAGACCATGTTAATTAAAATGATGATTGCATGGCAGTATGGACTTGCTGTGTAGATTAATATAACTTTTGCAAAACATTAGTTTGGGCTCCTAACAGTCCTAATATTTTCAGAAGTTATGCTGTATTGGATTTTGCTGTTTCTTTTGCAAAACAAGATTCTTCCTGATATTTTAGGCTGTGTTGTCTTGATGACTTTATTTGAATTTGAACTTCAGGGAAAAAGAATTTAAAAACATTTAAAAAGTTGGATATTATCCTGCTTGTAAGTGATGATGTATAAAGTTTCTTCTCAATTTGGTTAATGCTAGATTGCTAATTGTTAAGAAATTAATTGGTCAGCCCTTTTTTTAAATTTTATGCTCAGGCATTTTTACCAAAGTGATACAAAGGATTGCTGGTTTTATCTTATTAGCTCATTGTGATGTAATGATGTTTTAAACTTTCAATTATAGTAAACTTTAAACATTTGTTTAATGTAGTATTTTTTGCTAAGAATATTTATATTTTTTTATATTATGTTGAAATCGAGTTGACCGCCTAGTCGGCGACTAATCGACGCCTAGTCCGCCTAGGCGGTGCTTGACCGCCTTACTAGCGTCTAGCGAATTTTAGAACATTGTTTATAGTTAATTTAATTATATTAGTTGGATGTTTAGAATTATTTAACCTTGATTAGTTATTGATGTTATGATTTTAGAATATTTTTTATGAAAATTTGATTTAACATGAAAATGTGTGTTTAAAATTATTGTTCAGAACAAGGAAAGTAAATAGAGAATATATATTCAGCTCTTGTTCCATACATGAGGGTTATTTGGTCATTTGACATGATTAAGACTTCACATTCAGCCCACTTAGTAAACAGTTTGTTATCTCAGTGTCACTTAATCAAGACAGACAACTTAATGGAGACAGACGTCTTAATTTATTAAGGACTTAATGCAAAAAAACAGTAAACAACCCCTTACTCATATTAAGCATTATTTCAAGATCTCCTGTGTAGGTAATTTTTGCAAAGTTTTACCAAATTTGAGATTTGTTGCTAATTCAAAATGTGTACTTCGTTTGCCCAATAATTTTCTTCTTGTTTTTTCGGATATCCTGATTTTTTCACATTTCCCTTCACGAAATGGACTGTGTAGCTTATATTAATCAATCTTTTTTTCTACATATACTTTAACTATACATTTTAACTTTATTAATAAGCATATTAATTCAAAGTGAGTTTTTTTGGGCACGAATAAGTATTAAATATTTTTTTTTAAAAAGAATAGACTTAGAGCCCGTTTGGTAGCACGAAAATCGGTTGTTTTAGCTAATTCTGCTGAAATTTATGAAATTCTGGTTGAAGTGGCTGCATTGGCTGATTCTGCTGATACAAGAAAAAAATATTTTTAAAATATATTTTATTAATAAAATAAAGAAAAAATTATATGTAAAATAGCTAAAATGATCATCTACGGTAACTTCAGCCAATACAGCCAGAAAAGTAACTCCAACCTTACTTTTTCGACTTATTACACAATTCAGCGCGCGAAAACAAAATTTACGTGTTTGGTAAAAAAGTTGACTGATAAGCCCGATAAGCCGAAAATGAGGGTTGTCAAACGGCCTCTTAAGTTATTTCTAAATTAAAACATGTGAGAACATGTTGACATTTTGTAATAATAATTGGGTCACTGCGGAATGGTTGGGTGGTATGGTTACATTTGACAAAGTAAAAAAGAGTGTGGATATGATAGGGACAACAACTTAATATGAAAGGATAATAGACATGAAAAAAATCTATATCCCCAATTTCTTGCAAAATACTTCGGATAAAGACAGTACGAAACAATGCCATAAGTTTATGTTTACCTTTACTGTGGCAATAATAAAACCATCCAGACAAAGAATCTTTGCCCTTTCAAAAATCTCTAGACAAATTGCTGTATTATTATGACTTCGCTTTAAGCCTTTAACCCTGAAAAAAAGTTTATCAAATACCCCTTTATTACTTCCTGAACCTGGTATTTTAAACACCACACTTGAACAAGAGGTTTTCTTTTTCTTTTTCCTGGAAATATCATTTTTACCAATGGTAAATATTATCGTAAAATAAACTGTGTTGACACCGGTTAATATTATTCAGAAATTATTTGACAGCGGACAATTATTATTACTTGATTGTGTGTAATAAAGTAAATCGATTAAAGGGAAAGTCGCAGTTTCAATCCCTCAAATAGCACCCACATTCAAATATTGTCATCGTGTTTTTAAGTTTGTAAATGTCACTTCTCAATTGTCCGAGGTGTTGCAAATGTGGTCCCCATCGTCAAACTTTTAAAAGTTATACGTAAAAGTTAATGGTGTTGGTTCATATTTGACGGTGAAGATCACATTTACAACGATTTCGACAATTGAGATGAGACATTTAGGCTCATAACTCCAACAAGGTCCACCCAAAAGTCTATGATTGATGTCACATGGTACACTTTTTTTCTTGCTTTTGTGTATGGTACAACTCTTACAAATCATAAATCAAAATTTATTGATTGGTTTTACCAAGTTTAATTATGATGTGTACCTTTTTCTTTATTTAGACAGGGAGACATGGAAGAACAAAAAAACACAAACAAGCAGACTAAGCTTAACTTCCCTGCCTCATTCATACATTTGCCAAAGATGTAGTACAGAAGGGAAGCAAAATGCAGACCTGCTTTGGTTGCAGCATCTCAGCCCATCCCTTGTTCTTTGGTTCCTTCTCAGCCCAGCCCACTTAAATCTGGCATGTTATCCCATGGCAGAAATGCATAACTCTTAGCTACTCCAATTCCCCTTCTTCATTGATTAGTGATGGGAAAAATAGCCCTTCTTGTCTTCCATGTCCCCCTCCTTTTCAACTAACAGTTAAAATTCACATCTAATTTCTTCTCCATGTTTTTTTTACTTGTTGAAAAGTTTATGTCTAGCTGTATATTATATATATGCTGCACCATGTTTTAAGTGTGTGTATACAAATTAAATTAATATTTTGTTGAGAGAGAAAAAAAATTAGTGTTTGGACTTTGGAGGTATAGTTCAATGGAGTCCAGCAGCACAGCTAGGAATCTTCTAAGCTTTGCAGCTTTTTCACCAGCTTACTATCAAGGGAGGAAGGAAGATAATAACAGCAGAAACATCATTGATTTGGGATTAAGCCTTGGGGTTATGAACAACCATGATGAGACTAATTACCACCATCCATCTCCATGTGGTAAGGTTACATATATATTATATAGATCAATTTGAGTATATTTTCTTTAGTTAAGAGAAAATTAATAGTTGGACAAATAGTTGTGTGTAATTGTAGTTTAGAATTAGATCAACCCATGTTCTTAGAATGTGAGAGTAACGTTTTAAAAAAATAATGGCCACTTATACATATTAGGGGTATTATTTTTTGTTAAATTGATGTTGTCCGTTAACCATTTCGTCAACATTTAATTACATCAAACTTTAATCCTACAATATTTTTATTTATACCGGTTTCAGTTTCGTACTAGATCACACTTAATTTACCAGATTAAATCAAATTAGAAAATTTCACATTAAGTGAAAAGATATTTAGCCAACTATATTTTGTGGGATTATCCCACCTTTTGTCTTTGAATAGAGCCCATATATCCTACAAGTATTTCGGTAGCAATAAGAGACTTGACTTCTTGTCTGACGAATGGGGAAGACTCATGACTCATGAGTGCCATCTCACATGAGATGGGATGTATAACAGGCTCCACAATGACTATGAGTTTACTGGTTACATCTATAGAGTTAAAAAAACAAAAATGCTATTTGCACACGCCGGCTTGCACGCTAAATATATTTTGTTACTGTATAAATAATTGTCTCTGATCCCGAAAAAGTGAATTTTCTGTGCACAAACAATTAAGAGTCACGAGACAGTTTCCTTTACTAAAATGAAAATCAATTGTCTCTGCATATACTAAATTCACTTAGTGTGTAAACGGGCTTGCAAGTCTTATCAAGGGTATTTTTCTCATACTCCGTAATATATTGAAGGGAATAGCTATGAAGAGCTGATAGATTGGCAAGATTTGCACCCACAGCCAGGGAATAGAAGAATCAAGGGAAGGAGTGTGCATCTAAGAAAGTACTCAGCAGAGAGCTGTGATGAAGATGATGATGATGATGATGAAGTGATTGAAAGCAAAGAGAAGAGATGGGCTTATGTGAAAGTCAATATGGATGGAGTCATTGTTGGAAGGAAAATTTGCCTTCTTCATCATTTCAGTTACCACACTCTTGCTCTTCAGCTTGAAGACATGTTTGGTATGTTTCAAATTTTACATTTTATAACAGTCTATATACATGTTTTGTACATTTTTTCATCACAAAATTAAGTCCATTGCAATTCTTTTGTGATGAATAGTGGGGGTTTCTCTAATATTATCAAATAATACTCACTGATAAATATGTGATCACTTTGTAAATATATTCAAAAAACCCAGAAAAGATTGGAATGGGTAAAGGATTAATAGTTTAAGATAACAAAGTTTAGTCCTAATACTACTATGATTTTATATAGAAATAATAAAAGGTGAAGGTGTCCTGTTTGAGTCAAAAGAAAATCTAGAGGTTGTTTGAGTCATTCATTCATCAATTATTAGTGTTTGACTTCCTTTTAAGCAACCGTTTTAATGTCATTTATGATCAATTTTGCATTAGATACATATTTAACTACAACAAAAACCATTCCCATTTATTTTAAAGAATCAGTTTTTCATTTGCCAAAAAAGAATCAGTTTTTCAAAAAAGTTCTTTGATAGTTCTAATGAAGAAAACGCATATTTGTGTATTTTCTCAGCCATATATTTCTGTTGTGCTAAAATTTCATTGAAACTGTGATTTATGGTTACAGGGAAGCAATCCCAAAGGGGGTTAATAAGGTTATTCGAAGAAGGTTCAGAGTTTTCCCTACTTTATAAGGATGGAGATGATGATGTGTGGAAGATGGTTGGAGATGTTCCCTGGGAGTAAGTTTTATGCTTTAGGCTGCTACTTTATTTGATTTTTTTAATATATGAAACAAGTTTAAAGACAAAATTAACAAAATGTTTAAGCAGTAGTGCAAAACATGTTTCTGACCTTGTAACAATGAATTGATGGTCATTGAAGCTAGTCAAGTAAGAAGTTTTTTTTGGCATGGTTTGTTTAGTAAAAGTAAAGAATCAGTAGGTGTATAATTCATTCACTAATGAATTCATGAAAAATAGCAGTTTAATTGTAAAGACACTATTCAAATTAGAGATATCGAGCCCGTTTGGCAGCACGAAAATCGGTTGTTCTGGCTGATTCTGCTGAAATTTATGAAATTCTAGCTGAAGTGACTGCATTGGCTGATTCTGCTGATACAAGGAAAAAATATTTTTAAAATATATTTTATTAATAAAAGAAAGAAAAAATTATATGTAAAAATAGCTAAAATGGTCATCTACAGTAACTTCAGCCAATACAACCAGAAAAGTAACTTCAAACTTACTTTTTCGGCTTATTACACAATTCAGCGCGCGGAAGCAAAATTTATGTGTTTGGTAAAAAAGTTGGCTGATAAGCCTGATAAGCCGAAAATGAGGGTTGCCAAACGGCCTCATCATCTAACTGATGACGCTGAAGAGATCATTCTATTTGATTTTTTTAATGTCAAACTACATTTTCAAAAATATTATTCCGTTGGATATATGAAGTATATACAAATGTTATTGTATTTTAATTTAATTTTTGCGACTTTATAGAACTTTCAATAATATAAAAATATTAATTATTAACATGGTAACCAAGCATTCTGGCTCAGCTAGTTGTGAGGTTACCGTGCCTAGTGGGAGGTCTCGAGTTCGAAAATAAAGTTTATGAATATAAAAATATTAATTATTAACATGTTAACCAAGCATTCCAGCTCAACTGGTTGTGAGGTTACCGTGCTTAGTGGGAGGTCTTGAGTTCGAAACCCGCTAGGCACATAAGGGTTTGAAACTCAATGGAGTGAGTTTCAACCCTGACTACTCCAGGTCTCCCAGCCCCCTCTCCCAGACCCCGGAGTAAAAAAAAAATTAATTATTAACATGGTTATTTCTTACTTTTTGTTAGATTGGACATCAAGTAAGAAATAACAATATTTAGGAAACTTTTAATCCTATATGTGAAATAATGGAATTTGATTCATTTATGAAATGAGTTAAGTGGTTTAAAATAGTTTCTCATGAATTTGGGCTGACTATGAACAGGGATTTTGTGGATGCCGTGAAGCGACTGCGAATTGTGAGGAAGAAGCAACCATCCCTTTTTAATCAATGTTATAATTTTCCAAATTAGAGTAAAAAAGAAAAGAAAAACAGAGAATGATCAATTTTCTGAGATGAGGTTTAAGTTTACAATGTTTCTCAAAATGGTCTTTTCGATCTATTAATTTTGACAATCTCGATAAGCTAAATTAGATAACACTAATTATTTTTGGAGGAATACTTATTTTGAGATGTACCAAGAGTCTAAGATTGTAATTCTTCCCAAAAATGTAAGTCTGATAGACACATTTATTTAGCTTTTATTACTCAAATATTTTTTCATTTGTAACACTGAGAACTAAGAAGTTCTTGTATTGTGACAAAGAATCTATATTTCAATTTTTACCTTTTGATGTGTGGTCCCCAAAATATGCTAGTAATTACAAATGTAAACTAACATTTCTATGAAGTTCATTAATATAAATTCAATAGATACTTCTCAATTAAACACAAATGATTGTATGTTACTATAGATGGCATTTTCCCCTTTGGGAAAGGGATCACTAATTCATTGGATAGTTATTCTGCCAAAATTGTTATCTCTAAACATTCACTATCCCTCGATCGAGTTTCATAACCCAAGAGACGACCTCTAGGAAAAGTAGATCTATGAGTAAAGGAATGCCTTCAAAAACAATTACACAATAGTATATCATCATATAACAACTCGTGTCACAAATTTGTGTAGAAACAATTCATACAATGATTATTAAAAATGACAGGAGATAAAAAAATCTAAATACAATAGTGAATAATGGACGCTGATACGAGCTCCACACCACTTCTTAGACATTTAGAGCAATGAACATGAAAAAAGTGGCACTCTAAAGTGATTATTATTGTTAAGTTTTTCAGTTTGATTTTTTCAATATAGTTACCTTATATCCATACAATGATACAAACCCTAATCCGCATATAGCCTCCCATTTTTCATCAAATTGGCTTTCATCAAAACTAATAGATTTTTCAATATAGTTACCATTTCTCATAGTTGATCCTAGATTCATAAAACCATAAGCAACTTTATGAACCTGTATCCAAAATTCCACCTCATTCAGCCTAATTTTTAGCGGGATATCCTCAGGCCTAATCTCTTTAAGGATCAACAAATTCATTTCAAACAATCACGGACCTTCATCTAACACACGCCTCATATCCAAATTGAGGAGTGATAACAGTGATATTATTTGTGAAAGGAGAAACATACTTTTCTTGTTTAATTTATCAAAATGGACTATTTTAGTATCAATAATAGATTTGAAATATGTTATTAACACTCTCATGGCTCTACTGGTGTTTGCAATTGAATTAGATTAGAAAATCTATTTAGATCGGAAAATCAATTATGACTGATCGAAAGATCAATTTAGACCAGACACGGATCGGTTACGTGCCAGGACTTATGAATTTTATGGATTGACTTGGTAAAACATAGACTATTTGGCTCCATATGAGATGAAGGGTAATTATAAAATTATTACGTAGTACGGAGTATTATTTGTAAATATTTTTTTTATCTAAAATACATTAAATTAGAAAAATAATTAAAATTCAACTTACATTTGATTTTATATAAATATTTATAAATGCAAAAGTTTATGTTTTAAAAAGGATTAATATAGTCTAGCTAGAAAAGAAACATTTGTTAAGAAGAAGTTTCCTATTAGAATAAAAGGCAAAATTGACATTAATAATATACGTAGTATATTTTTATAGGTTTAACAAAAATAATTCTTATTACAGAATTTCATAATAATTTCAACTCGTTAACCACTTCACAAAAATGAATCACAAGTTAACAATGTTCTATTTTACTTTTCTCTTTGGGCGGGTTGTCTCAAAATGAATATTACATCCGCCTCAAACTACTATTAATCTATTACTTTATATATCAAACTTTTATCAAATTTGATTTTTCTTTTTGAGACTATAAAACTTTTAATATACTTTCTGAATATGTAAATTTTATTTTTAAACATAAAATGAGTGTGGACAGAGATCCGTTTGCTTTATCTTTGACCAAACCTCGTAAACTGCAATGAGACCAACAAATTGGGACGGAGGGAGTATCATGTTTCCTTTGGCAAGAAATATGTGATCTTTATTATTTCACTTTATTCTACTCAAATACCAATCACAACTTTTACTTTTCAATCACATAATCGTGTCAAACTAAAAGTAAAAGTTGTGATTGGTATTTGAGTAGAATAAAGTGAAATAAATTGAACCGAGGTTACCCGGGCCGGTTCCGGGCCTCCCATACCTTGAACCGAGGTCGGGCCGGTTCAAGGCCCGAACCGAGTCCATCCCTACGTAGATTGTCTCGCAAAAATAAAAACTGTTGAGGAGCCAAACTTTTAGTGAAAATATCAGCTAGCTGAAACTTAGTGGGAACATACTGCACAAGGAGATCACCATGAGCCACACGCTCGCGAACAAAGTGATAATCAATGTCAATGTGCTTACTTCGAGCATGCTGAATGGGATTAGCAGATAAGTATGAAGCAGAAATATTATCACAAAGTAGCCTCACTCGACGATGAATCGGAAAACCGAGCTAAAAAAGGATGGACCGGATGTGGAGTGTGTCTTGGACAGTGTAGGCAATGGCTCGATACTCAGCTTCAGTGGAGGATCTGGAGACAGTCGGTTGCTTCTTAGAACGCCAAGAGATCAAATTTGGGCCTAGAAAAATAGCATAGCCTGAAGTGGAGCGACTAGTTTCAGGACAACCAGCCCAATCAGCATCAGAGTATGCAAGAACATAATGAGGATGTGTAGACGGCCGTAGGTGAAGACCATGCGTGAGAGTGCCCTGCAGGTACCTGAAAATTCTCTTCACAGCCAACATATGTGAAGTACGAGAAGCATGCATAAATTGAGACACCAAGTGAACAGCATATGTAATATCAGATCTAGTCATAGTTAAATACTGCAATGCACCTACCATGCTACGGTACTCTGTAGGATCAGCAAGTAACTCACCATCAGTGAGAGACAACTTAGTTCTATTGGGAAGAGGCGTGCGAACAAACTTAAGAGTATGAAGATGAAAATGGGTGAGGAGATCGGACACATATTTAGCCTGATATAAAAATAGACCAGAAGTATCTCGCACAGCCTGAACCCCCAAGAAAAAATGAATATCACCTAGATCTTTCATGGCAAAATAATTTCCCAAAAGAGAAATAAAAAGCCGAATGTGTGAGGAGGAATTGCCTGTAACTATGATATCATCCACATATAAGAGTAGATAAATAATGCGAGTGCCATGTCGGAAAATAAATAAAGAATTATCAGCACGACTACAAAGAAAACCACGTGTCAAAAGAAAACTACTGAACTGGTAAAACCATGCCCGGGGAGCTTGTTTAAGACCATAAATGGCCTTACGCAAGCGACAAATGTGATTAGGAAACTGTGGATGAATGAACCCCGGTGGTTGCTTCATATAAACCTTCTCTGTCAAATAACCATGAAGAAAAGCATTTTTAACATCAAGTTGGCGAATGGGCCAATTATAAGACACAGCTAAGGTGAGAACAATGCGAACAGTGGTGGGTTTGACAACAGGACTGAAGGTCTCAGAAAAATCAACTCCAACCTGCTGCTTGAACCCCTGAGCAACCAGACGCGCTTTGTCTTTCAATCGAGCCATCAGAACGATATTTAGTTTTATAAATCCATTTAGACCCGACCACATTTTTACCAGGAGTAAATGACACTAATTCCCACATTTTATTAGCAATAAGTGCATTAAATTCTTCAGACATAGCTGCCCTCTATTTAAGATCTTTATTAGCCACAGAAAAGCAAGTGGGGTCAGAAATTAAAACCTCAGTATTTAAATTAAAAATTGTTTTGGGTTTAAAAATTTATGACTTGGAGCGAGTTTGCATGGAAGAGGGCTGGGAAGGTAATGTGTCACCGCATCTGGCGCAGAAGCCTGAGATTCAGCCGTGCTAACTGACGAAGCCGGAGATGACGCGACACCCCCTGGCGACGATGCGGGGGTGTGGGTGACCGGAGAGCCAGTGTGGTCCGAGAGAATACCAGGCTGCTGGGAGCTGTTCGGCGGTGTGGGGTGTTCGACGGGTGACGGAGAAAGCAGCGGCGGCAGTGGCTGCCCAGAGGGCGTCTGAGTTAATGGTGAGGACATGGAAAACGACATAGGACCGGGTTGAACGGAGGAAGACTTAGGAGACACCAATTTAGTGTATGGAAAAATATTTTCATGGAACTTGACTTGATGACTAACATAGATTCTTCCTGTTTTAGGGTCAAGACACCTATACCCCTTGTATTCAGACGCATAACCTAAAAAGACACATTGTAAGGAACGAGGAGAGAGTTTGTTGGCAGGAGTCGCAGAAAAATTGGGGTAACATGCACAACCAAACACACACACATAAAAGAGAAGTCAGGAGACCGGTGGAATAATTTTTGGTATGGGGAAACTCCAGAAAATTTGGTGGAGGGTAAGCGATTAATAATAAAAGTAGCAGTCAATACAGCTTCAACCCAAAAAATAGCGGGTAAACCAGCATCAATAAGCATTGTACGTGCAAGTTCAATAAGATGACGGTGTTTGCGTTCAGCTAAACCGTTTTGTTGTGGTGTGTTAGGACTTGATTTTCGAAAAAGAATGCCATGAGCATCAAAAAATGAGCGCATACTAAAATTATCAAACTCACCCCCTCCGTCACTTTGAAAAATTTTAATTTTATAATCCAACAAATTTTCCACCAGTCTTTTAAATGATTGAAAATGCATAAAGACTTCACTTTTACGACACATGAGATATATCCAGGTAAAACGGGAGTAATCATCAATGAAAGAAACATAATATTTAAAACCAGAAGCAGATAACACAGGTGATTGCCAAACATCTGAATGTATTAAGAATAACGGAGCACTAGAATTATGAAAAAACATCCTGAAAGGGTAATCTATGAGACATTCCCAATCGACACGAGATACAATCATGATTAAAAGATGAAAGACTACTAAGTTGACCAGACTTCTTAAGACCATCTAAAACTCTAGTGCCGCAGTGTCCCAAACGGCGGTGCCATAATGGTCCAGGTGCCGCGCTAGAAGCAAGAGCAAAAACTGGAGGTGAAGACAAACGAATTGGGTAAAGACTGCCGCTACTGGAAGCCTGAAGAAGAACTGCCCCCGTTGTTTTGTCCTTTAGAAAAACAGATTTTTTGTTAAAAATCACCATGCAATTATTGTCAGAACACAATTTTTGTATGGATAATAAATTATATTTAATTTGAGGTACATGATAAACAGATCTTAAATGGATAGGCTTGGAAGGAGAATTAATGAAAATATCACCAATATTTTTTATGGGTAAATT